CCTCTCACAAGTCCTGCCCCCCCCTTACCCTGCGCTCTGAGAAGCCCAGACTTTGTCTCTAGGAGTCTCTCTCCTTGTCTCTTTGGGAGTCTCTCTCCTTGTCTCTTTGGGAGTCTCTCTCCTTGTCTCTTTGGGAGTCTCTCTCCTTGTCTCTTTGGGAGTCTCTCTTCTTGTCTCTTTGGGAGTCTTTCTCCTTGTCTCTTTTCCCCTCTGCTCCCCACTACTTTCTCAGCAGGGGAACTGTGTGGGGGCCAGATGACCTCATTGTGAGGACTTGTGACCCCTAGTACAGGGAGGGGACAGAGGACAGGAATTCCCAGATTTTAAAAAAAGGCTGGAGTTGTTTTGCAAGCTTTGAAATTCTTTGCCCCCCACAGTCCACTTCACTGCTCTTAGCAATTCTAGAGGGCAGGCAGGTGGGAGCAGGAAGCTGCTCAACTGTCGAGGTCCTAAGAGGTTGGGGTAGCTGACCAGCTCAGGGGGTCCTACAAAGCCAAGCTGAGCTTCTAGTCCATGGTGCTAGCCATGGCCCCTGGCCTGCTGAATGGCGCCCCCAGGTGGTGCAGGCCAGATCCCACACGCTCAGAGTTAAGCTGGTGTGGTGCCCTAGAGAGGAGGACACGGAGGGCCAATGACCACCATCTGATCCCACCTGCAGCCTGGACTCACTCAGTGAGAACAAGATCGGGGACGAGGGTGTGTCGAAGCTCTCAGCCACCTTTCCTCAGCTCAAGGTCCTGGAGACGCTCAAGTAAGTACAGTGGACCCGCCTCCCCACGGCTTCAGTCTTCTGTCCTGTCTGCCCTCCACTGCACCATTCACTCCTTCTGTTCTGGGTCTTCATGCACTCTCCTCTCCAGCCACTGCTTATCCATTCAGTCTTCTTTCTCCAGGGACCACCTCAGCAACACCGTCCACCTCTTTTAAGACAGCGTCTCTCTCCGGCTTGGAACTTACCAGTTATGCCAGGTTAACCAGCCAGGGAGCCTCAGAGTTCCACATGTCTCCACTTCACCCATGCTGGGATTACAGGCACGCACCACCGTGCCTAGATTTCCATGTGGGTTCTGGGGATCAAACGCATGTCTTCATGCTTGTGAGACCTGCACTTTACTGAGCTGTTTCTCCAGACTTCATTTATTAGATTAATGAACAGACTTAAAGAACCCCTGCTATCACAAGCAACAGTGGAGACCCTGAAGATCCTGCTCTCAGACCTCAGGCATCTTCACATACAATAAACCAGAAGCAAACAAATAAATAAGCCATACTTACAATATAGTAATCTGGGCATCGTAGCAATGGGGAGCCTGACACAGTAGGATAACAGTGAGTTTAAGGCCAGCCAGGAGAACCAGAACCAATCTCAAGAAAAAGTGGGGGAAAGCTGGCAGGGTGGCTTAGCCAGAGACGGTGCTGCTGCCAAGCTGGACAATTTGAGTTCCAGCCTCAGGAGCCACACGGCCAAGGGAGAGAACTGACTCCTGCACGTACGTGGTCCTCTGGCCTTCACACACACTAAAAAACAGAAAGGGAAATACAGTATTAAAACAAAACACTGTAATGAAAGTTTAATGGGTGAAACCACACCGGGATGTTGGAAGGGAAGCGACAGATTAGGATTTAGCAGTAAAACCTTATCTGGCGACAGTTTTTGAAACCGTTCTGGGCTTTGGGAAGTTAAAGGGGCGTGGGTAGGGGGTGGACATGGTTTCCTGTTGAACCTGCTTTGTAATGAAACCTGAGGAATTGGTGATCCCAGGAGGGACTGCAGCAGGAGGCTCTTGAGTTCCAGGCCAGCCTGGGCTACATAATGAGACCTTGCCTCAGAGTAAAAATTTTAAAGAGGCCAATAAGAGAACATAGAGGGTGAAGGACCTCTAAGTTCTACAGCTGGAGACCTGAGTGTCGTCTCCAGAACTCGTAAAAATGTGTCAATGCAAAAACATTGCTCTCGTCCTAAAAGCAGTTAAGAGTTTATTTGGGAGTCATTTTGAGTGACCAATGCTCAGGAGCTCAGATTTAGATTATCGCAAATTCCATGTTCCAACATGGAAGCAGCTTCACGAAGTTTTACAGTTTTACAGAACAAAGAAAGTCATAAATCAAGGCAAGTTTAAAATAGGTTGGTGGTGTGGGGTGGGGTGTGTGTGTGTGTGTGTGTGTGTGTGTGTGTGTGTGTGTGTGTGTGTGTGTATGCACACGTGTGCTCGTGCTCAAACCTTTAATCCTAACACTCCGGAGGCAGAGACAGGCAAATCTCTGAGTTTGAGGACAGCCTAGTCTACAGATTGAGTTCCGGGATAGCCAGGGCTACACAGAAAAATCCTGTCTCAAAACACACACACACACACACACACACACACACACACACACACACAAACAAACAAACAAACAAACAAACAAGACACACATTGGTGGGTACATCAGAAAGGCAGGTACATTAAGATGGGGGAAGCTTTTCTGTAGGCCCGAGATGCTGTCCGATGGCAGTCTTTCTTTTGGGTTGGTGGAAGCTAGTGGTCAGCTAAGTTAATAGAGTCCAAGAGGTTTCTATCTATCGGCCACAGGAGGTTTGCTCTGTTGCAGAGGTGGGCAGGGGGTGCTGTTCCCAGGGCTTTCCCAACCCTCCCCATCACTGCAGGTCTGTTCCAGCTCTGCAAACACAGCTTCTCTCCAGGAATTCTAATTCACAACTGCACAGCATTGTCCTCGGCCACACGTGCACAATGTCAGCACACCCCTACACACACACACACACACACACACACCCCTACATACACACACACACACACACACACACACACACAGCAACAATAATACGTTTTTTAAAATTTAAAAGCACTGGCAACATAGCAATGACAGAGCACTTGTCTAGCATGCATAAGGTCCTGGGTTCAATTCCCACAACTAAACGAACAAAACATTTTTTAAAAAAATCTTTCAACACTCCATGTTATAAACCAAAAAGGCTGAAATGCCCCAAGAATTCCTGTGGTAATTTCCTTGATATACAGTGTAGGTGTCTCCATAATTTACAATGGTCTAGGTATACCACAAGATAGATTTTCCTCCTTCTCACCTGTCTATTCCTGGACATGTACACATTTATTGAGCACCTACTGTGTGCAGTTAGAGTGCTGGAAAGCAGTCCAGGGGAAAGGATCACTATCAAATCAGAGAGCAGGTGAAGGAGGGGAGCGGTCTTTCTCTGCCATCTACCTCTCAGTCTGCCACCCACTCTCTCTGTAACAAAACTTTCATATTGTAAGTGGTTCCCGTGGGTTCATCCACATGACCCATGACCCTCCCTGAAGCTGGCTGTCACAGGTCTGTGGCTACAGGCCATCTGTGAGGCAGTACATTCCTAGCCTCATGATGGAGGCCAGTGGGAAAGGGAGATCCTGCCACTCCTGAACTGTTTCCTCCCTGTGTCCCTGTAGCCTGTCCCAAAACAGCATCACTGATGTGGGTGCCTGCAAGCTTGCAGAAGCCCTGCCGGCCCTGGCCAAGTCCCTCCTAAGGCTGAGGTGAGTGGGGTGCCCTGCTGAGTGGGCTGGGGAGATGGAGGGCAGGAAAATGGTCCCCTCTTGCTGGCTGGGAGGTCTGTGTCATCAGGTGGTGCACTGACCTAGACTCAGCTGAACATCACCAGAGCCCTGGGCAAGTTGCTTACTTGTTCCAAGCTTCTATTTCCTCATCTGGAAAATAAGAATTGTGTCATTGGATCATATGTCATACCTCAGTCTGTCCCTAGTGAGCAGTGGATGGCTGTCCCTTACCCATCTACCTGCAGCAGGAGAGTCCCGCGGTGCTGGCTTCTGAGAGGTCCATCACCATTCCAGTCAGTGCTTACACTGCCACCTCCCGGTGGCCCTCGGTGTAGCAGCTCCAACTCTTCAGCAAGTCTTCCGGGTGGGTCTAGGAGCTGAGATGGGAACTGAGCTTGAACCAGAGTCCCAGTCATTCAGCTCAGCACTAGCAGCTCTTGGCTAAGCAGCTGGGAAAGAATCTCCTTCCCCCAAGCCATGTTCTAGGAAAGGCAACTTCTGACCATCTCTACTGGGGCAGCTACTCCTACGTCTTCCAGCCAGGTCCTCTGTGCGGGTGAACAGGTCCTGCACTGCACAATTCATGATATATGTGCTTGGTGCCCATCTAACACCCTAAAGTTGTGCTAGGTGTACAGTATTCCCTAACTTAAACTGTGGGATGGCCTCACTTTTGAGTTGCATACTAAGACAGAAAACACAGACATAAAAAAGGTATTTTTAAGACCGTGATTTATTCTAGGAAGGGAATTGGTATGTACCAGGAGAGTAAAATGGGAGTGTCACCAGTTTATTTCAGAGAGCGGGGGTGCTGTGACATGCTGAGACATGGCCCTGTGTGGGAAACTAGAGGTGAGGAGCTCTATAGGGCAGCAGGCACAATGGCCTCAAAGCAGGAAAGAGGATGGATTTTCAGGGGCAGAAGGGCTCCCGAGGTGGCTGAAGCTTCCTCAGTGTGGAGGGATGGGAGGTGAGATGGGAGGATGGGAGGTCAGGAAAGTCCAGATCACACAGGCAGGTGCTTGTGGGCCAGGCAGGCTTGCTAACTACCATCACCAGAATCCTAACAAAGGCCACTTAAGGAAGGAAGGGGTTATGAGGGCTCACAGTGTGAGGGTGTAGTCCGTCATGGTGGGGAGCCTGGTGGTGGGGGTGTGAGGGTGCAGTCCATCATGGTGGGGAGCCTGGTGGTGGGGTGTGTGTGAGGGTGCAGTCCATCATGGTGGGGAGCATGGTGGTGGGGTGTGTATGAGAGTGCAGTCCATCATGGTGGGGAGCCTGGTGGTGGGGTGTGAGGGTGCAGTCCATCATGGTGGGGAGCCTGGTGGTGGGGGTATGAGGGTGCAGTCCATCATGGTGGGGAGCATGGTGGTGGGGGTGTGAGGTAGCTGGTCACATCGCCTCTGTGGTCAAGAAGCAGAGAGCAATGAACAGTGTTGCTCAGCTCACTTTTCTCCTTTTTAATTTTTTTAAATATTATTTTTATTTTATGTGCGCAGGTGTTATGTCTGGTGTACACCTGTGTGCCAAATCCACACAGTACCTGCAGAGGCCAAAAGAGGGTATCAGATCCCCTTGAACTGGAGTTATAGATGGCTTATGGCTATCTCATAATAAAAATAATTCATTCTAACTTCAAAGTCCCCATAGTCTTAGTTTCCAAGTTTTCTTTTTCCTATGGCCAACATAGGTCACCCCTTCTGTGGTGTCTCATGTGGCCCTAGTGGTTTCTGTAAGTGAGATCCTGGTTAACATTTAGTCCACTGCACAAACCAGCAAGAACCCAGCTGCTCTCCCTACAGTGACCCTCTCCTACCCAAATGAACAACAGCGTGGGGAGGGGATCGCGTGAATTCCCCAGACAGGAAGAGGCATGTCTTTGAACCTGGGAAGTTGTTCTCTGGAGTTTCCAAATGCTTTGGGTTGGGAAACACCTCCTCCTCCCTCCTCTCCTTCTCTCTCATCTCTCTCTCCCCTTCTCTCCCCCTCTCCTCCCCTCCCCTCCCCTTCCCCCTCTCTACTCCTCCATGACTCTGTGTGTGTGTGTGTGTGTGTGTGTGTGTGTGTGTGTGTGTGTGTGTGTATGTGTGTGTGTCACTAGGGATGGAGCCCAGAGCCACTGCATGTATACCAGACGGGCACTCTATACTGAGCTCTAACCCCAGCCTTCTTTTAACTTTCTATTTTGAGGGGCTTTAGTTAAGAGCACTGGCTGCTCCGGACCTGGATTCAATTTCCAGCACCCACATGAGACTCACAACCATCTGGAACTCCAGTCCCAGGGGTCCCTTGCCCTCTTCTGGACTCCTCAGGCACTGTACACACACGAAGGCAAACCATCCATACACAAAAATAATAAAAATAAAAAAACAAAAAACAAAACCAACCTTTCTATTTTGAGACTGGGTCTCATGTATCTCAGGCGGGCCTGAACTTGTAATCCTTCTGCCTCAGTTTCTTAAGTAGCTGGAATTACAGGCTGCGCCATCAAGCCCAGCGTACAAATTCCTGTCCATGCTGTAGTTTCTTGAACTCACTATGGAACTACAGATAAGTGGCCTCAACTCTCTGGGCCTCAATTAGTCCATCTGTAAAATGGGACAGTAGGGCCTGCCTGGGGATGTAGCTCAGTTGGCAGAGTGCTTGCCTAGCATGTATGAGGCCCTGGGTTCATTCCATCTCCAGCACTACATAAACTGGGTGTAATGGCACATTATAATAAGCCTAGTACTCAGAAGGTGGAGGGAGGAGGATCAGAAGTTCAGAGTCATCTCTGACTATGTACAAGTTAGAGGACAGCTTGGGGATACATGAGACCTATTAGATAGATAGATAGATAGATAGATAGATAGATAGATAGATAGATAGATAGATAGATAGGTAGGTAGGTAGGTAGGTAGGTAGGTAGGTAGGTAGGTAGGTAGGTAGATAGATAGATAGATGATAGATAGATAGATAGATAGATAGATAGATGATAGATGATAGATAGATAGATAGATAGTCAGACAGATAAAGCGGAGCAGTCATTTCAGTTGCGTGTGGGTCCCACCTGGCCCTGAGCTCACCCAGCACCCCAAACCTCTTCCTTCCCCCTCTGTTGCCGGCAGCTTGTACAATAACTGCATCTGTGACGCAGGAGCCAAGAGCCTGGCACAAGTGCTTCCAGACATGGTGTCCCTGCGGGTGATGGAGTGAGTGTGGGGGTTCAGGGGGACTTGGGGGGCAGAGGGTCTCCCACCTGCATCATGGGAAGGGTTGGGATAGGAGTAGCCTGGCCTCAGGATGGACCTCTCTCTTCAGTGTCCAGTTTAACAAGTTCACGGCTGCCGGTGCCCAGCGGCTGGCCTCCAGCCTTCAGAAGTGCCCTCAAGTGGAAACGCTGGCGTAAGTTGCATTGACCCTGGGGTTGGAGATCTGCATGTAACTCTAGAATTCAAATCCCACCCCTGCTGAGCAGTATATGAGCTGGTAGATGACCTGCCCTGCAGACCTTAGCTTCTCCATCTCTGGGACAATGATGTGACATTTACAGAGAAGACTTGAGACAGTCATGTTAGGCAAGACAAAGAAAGATGTTTTTGTGGGACCAGGGTCTCATGTAGCCTAAGTTGGCCTGGAACTCACTATGTAGCTAAGGATGACCCTTTTGCCTCTATCTCCCAAGTGCTGGAACTATAAGCATATACTGCCACATGCAATCTCACATGGCAACGGGAATCAAAGCCAGGACTTGGTGTATGCTAGGCAAGTGGTTCAATACCTGAGCCACGGCCCTAGTCCTAAACTTTTAGGACACTGTTGCCACATAAAACACTCAAATATTTCATCAGGGTAAACCATGTGAAATTGCCTAATCCAGTCATTCTTAGAACATAAAAATAGCAATTTCATATAGTTAGAACCACTTTTATTTGTTTTTGAAGCAGAATTGCACTTCAACTCACAATCCCCCTGCCTCAGCCTCCTGAGTGCTGGTACTATAAATGCATGTGTTGTGCCCAGCTTTAAACTTATTCTCAAAGCCAGTGTGATGTTTGGTGTCCAGTACCTTTTGCTCTTCAGATGGCTTTGATCTGCAAAGTTGTGCCCATCTTCTCGGGTAGATCTCGGCATCTCTAGATTCTTTTCTCATTGTGACCATGACACCTGGCAGGAGCAATGAAAAGGAGGAAAGGTGCCCTGGGCTCACAGTCCCCCAGGGTGTCATCTGTGGGGCATTTACCCACCACCCCCACAGCTTCCCAGAGTTTTCTTGAGTGCGAGCAGCAGGAAATATTAGATAGAAGGATTTATAGCGGAGAATCTTGTGGAGATAAACAGATAGAAAATAAAGGATAGCCTCAAGAGGGCCTGGAACCTATTCCAACGGGCCCCGACTGTCTCTGGCCCAGGGTTTTTATAGAGACACCAAGGGGGTGGAGCAAAAGACCTCCTCCCCCAGCACAGCCAAGTGCAGACCATCTCAGACACCTGCACTCAGGCCCGTGGTCCTGATCATCCTCTATTCGGACCTGCTGGGTAAAGCCACGAGGAACCCCAAAACGGGCTCCCACAGTCATCCACCGTGGCGGGAAGGCACTGATTGCAAGAGTTTGTGCCTGCAGCTGCTCACACACTATCAGGGAGTAGCTAGCTCTGGAACTGGCCTGGCTATTGCCTTCAAAGTTCCACCCACAGTGACCTACTTCTGCCATTGAGGTCCCACCTCCTAAAGATTCCACAGCCTTCTGGGGAAAAGCATTAAAAATGGGGGCCTGTGGAGGACAGACCACACTGATACCACAATAGGATCCACTTTACAGCTAAAGAGAATATGGCAGAGTAGACCAGGATTGAAAAAGGGCCTCCTAGCATCCTGGTCACCCATGCTAGGTGGGGGTGTATGCTGTATGCTGCCAGGTGGGGTGTGGTTAAGGTTCTATGCAGAGTAGGAGGTGGGGCTGTGGGTAGCTTGCCCTGGGGAGGCCTGGCTGCCTTCCCTCTAACCTGGCCCTGGGGTCCCTTGTCCCCTCTGCAGAATGTGGACACCCACTATCCCCTTTGGGGTTCAGGAACACTTGCAGCAGCTGGATGCGCGGATCAGCCTGAGATGACCCTGCTGTGCCCTGGACAAGGTAACTGTGTTGGACTCCAGAAAGGAGAACCTCAGGGACATCTGGGTCAGTGTCCTCGTAAGGGGGGACCAAGGGCATCAAGCAAGGCTGGGACCACGTGTCATCTGGAGCTATCCTGTCTCCAAACTGGCAGGTGTCCTCCAGACTTTGGGGACTTGGGCCAAGGAACCTCCCTGAGATCAGGCTTAAGGACTGAGGCAAGACAGGCTGAGCCAGTCACCTATCATCCCCATCTTGGTATTGGGAAGTCCTTCCTTTGAAACTTTCTTGTTGCTGTTTCTCTTGGGTTCATCTTCATAGGAAATTAATATTTACTGCCCACAGCATGAAGACAATTGTCCCCCCCCTCCCCTGACCTGTGTTGCAGCTGTCCTCCAGTCCCTCCTTCAGCCCCCCACATTCTGACACCCCCTCCTCTGCTGTCAAGGCTGCCCCATGGAAGCTCATTGGCTCACCTGTCTCTCCTGATCTCCCACAGCATGTACTCTGGGACACTGACCACGCTGGACCTTGAACTGGGTACTGTGGACTCTGCTCTTCTGTGGGCCATATCCCATGAGAGTCGGCCTCTGGTAACCCTGCCCATGCAGGCTCGGAGTTGGGCTCTGCCTAGATGAGGAACGGACACGTCTTGCTCTTCTCCAGGCTGCAAGAGCAGCTACAGGCTCTTGAGTGCCAGGCAGGAAGCCAGCCCCATTCAGTGGCTGTGAGCAGTGGCAGGCAGGCCTGGGGCTGCATTCAGTGGATCCACCCGGGAGGCCAAAGGCCTTCTCTTTGACGGTCCAGGCCAGAGTACGGAACTGAAGCAGCCAAGTACCTGCCTGGCCAGGCCAGGGCCAGCCTGGTGAGAAGGCACTTCTCCCCTGACAGGGCCTGCTCTGAAGACACTAATGTGGCCCTGGCCTGCAGACCTCTAAATGCGACAGGGAGTCTATGGCAGCTCTTTCTACTTGTGGTACTGTTTCCACAAACTTTCAGCCAAGGCCTGAGCTGGCTAAGACCCTGGATGTGAACCAAGAGCCAGGAATGGTAGACTGCAGGACAGGAGAGCTGCAGCCGGGAGCTGCTCTGCCTTCTTCCATACTCACTACATTTTAAACGCACTCTCACTGCAGCTCTGGGGCTTGGCTTATCCCACAAGTTCCATCTGGGGGATCCCTTCTGTCCTGGTATCCAATGCAAAAGAAACCACCCAAACCACAAGAACTTAAAACAGTCCACACTTCCATACTGCCCCAACCCCTGTCCTTTAGGCAGGCTCAGAAGAGACAGCCCACCTGGCCCCACCAACCCTCTAAGTCAATATGGGCAGCTAGAAGCTGGGCTGGAACCATCTGAAGGCTTGCGCCTGTATGTCTGGTGCATGACATGGGTTGCTGGCTGGGAGCCCTGAGTCCTTAATAGACAGCTGGCTGGGGACTTCTCCAAGGGGAGCTGGCTTGCCTTCCTCATAGCACTGCGTCTGCATTATAGGGTGACTCCCCAGTGAGGGAGAACAGAGAGGAGAAAGTGAGGAGACACAGGCCAGCAGAGACCACCTCATAAGAGGCTGCACAGCATTGTTTCTACCACATTCCGAAGTACAGAACATGCACGGAGCGTGTGTGCACACCATACAGCCTGGCCCTGCCCAGATCCTGCACCTTCTGCAGGGATCTTGGTAGATTCTAAGATCCCAGGCCGGAGGGCTGAAACAGTGACCATGGTAAAGGAGTGTTGTCTTCCACTGCTCCACTGCGTCCTGGGAGCAGTTCCCAGGACCACGCTGGTCGGCCTCAGCTGCAGCCCGCCAAAAGGAGCAGGTCGCACCAGTGCTGCCGGTCTTGTTTTCCCTGGGGGCTCTCGCCTTGAGGTCAGGAGCCACTGATCCCTCCATCGGGACAGTGACAGCGTACTTTCTTGCCTTGGCAGAGGGAGCTGTCTGTGTGGCTCCAGCATGCCAGCCCGGATGCCAATAGGACTGGCCCACATCCCAGTAAGTGGGAACTGGGCTAGAGGGCCCAGGGAGGTGGTCTGCATGGCTGCTTGGGGGTGATTCTCAGAGACAGGTCCAGCTGCAGAGGGTACCTGTGCAAGGCATCAAGCTCAGGAGTCCCACTGGTGTGGCCACAGGGGAGGGTACTGAGGCACTCTCCAAGGCAGATATCTGCTGCACCTACCAGTCAAGTAGGCAGACCTTTACCTCTGCCTTGGGTCTGTCTGGAGATGCTCAAAGTACCTCTCCTCACTCTGCTGAGGGCTGTCACTTATTAATGGGTTGGTTTATGTAAGGCACTCACTATAGTGCCAGGGACACAGTAAATGCTCAACAAACCTCACTGGCTCTAGATCCTGTGTGCTGGGCAGCATCTTAGCCCCCTGGCTCCTGAAGGGAGGTAGCTTAGGACTGTGTGACACCAACTCTCGGTTGAGCTGCCTGGGCTCATGCTCCATCTCACCATATATGCAGAAGCAAGCGTGTCAGGAATCTTCTGTGCCTTAGATTCCCCATCTGTAAAACGGGCAGAGCCGTGGGATCATCTTCACTGGATTATGTAAAGACTCAACGTGGAAACAAAAATATTAATAAAACAGGTCAGCAAAATGGCTCAGGGGTAAAGCAAGCCCAGTGACTGGAGCTTGCTCCCCAGGACCCACATGTGGAAGAGAGAACCATCTCCTACAAGATGTCTTCTGAAGTTTCTGTACACATACATATACATAGGCAAAATGCTCATACATATGAAACAAGGTCATGTGTGGTGGCACACACCTTTAATCCCAGCACTTGGAAAGCAGAGGCAGGAGGATCTCTGTGAGTTCAAGGCCAGCCTGGGCTACACTGTGAGGCCGTCTTAACAAAGCCCAGCACACAGCTTAGTGCAGGAGCTCTCCTTTCATCCACCCTGTGTTGCATTCCTGCCTCTGTCTGGAATGTTCTTCCCCAGCCTGCATGTGACTCCCAACAGGACTCTACGGTTCCTCGGGCCGATTATCTGTCTCTCATACCTCGGCACCCTACTCTCCAACTCCATCTCAGTATCCTCTCTTTTGCCGTCTGCCTGTCTAAATGTGAGCTCTGGGGAGCAGGGTGTCTTGCTCACCCTTCTGCCCTCTCCACCCATTCAGGTGCCTGTACATAGGAGGTGCTCAGTAAGTGTGGTGTGGATGGCCAGTCCTCAGCACCAGCTCCCTTAGTCACTGTGCACTGTGCACTGAAGACACATGGGTGAACAAGACACGCAAGGCTCCTGTGCTGGAAGTCTTGCATCTTAGCAAATTTAAGACAGAGTGGCCAGGTGTGTCTGGCCAGGCTGAGCACTGCACAAAGGACCCGGACAGTGGACACATGAGGGTTGCACACTAGTGGAGCCTGGAGGGGAACTGAATCATTTTAGAAGAGAATCTCTTGGTAATTAGCATGGTGTCATCTCAGGAGGTGGGTAAGTTGTGGTTTCCATGTTAGAAACTCGGCATTATAGGAAAGGAGTCAACGTATCAGCTTGGCCTGTGACCCCTTTGTGGGTCTCTGTGGGTGTGGGGTATGGTGCACAGTGTGCTAGAATAGGTTGCTGGCCCCCCTTGGGATTGAGAAGCAGTTCTGGGGGAACTGGCAGGCTGCACAATCCAAGCCCCTATTCAGCCATCAACTTCCCTCCAGGCCTCTCTCCCGGGGAGTATGTCTCTCTTCCTGTTGTTTATATCAGAGCCAAAAACTGCCATCTTGGAGATTTCAGCTGCACCCTGTTGCAAAAGGATTATCCCATCATGGAGAGGTGGGGAGCGTCACAGGATCTTCCCATGAGTGTCTGACAGCTCCCATCTGCTGTATGCCATGCTGCCCTAACTGCTCATGGCTTCAGGGAGGGGCTAGAGCTATACTCTAGGGAAGACCAAGGAAGAAGGCTCCATTTTTTTTTTTTTTGTGGGGTTTGGAGACAGGGTCCCATGAAGCCCAGGATGACCTTGAACTTCTGGTCTTTCTACTTCCATTTTTGAACGTCTGATACATTTGTCTCTGTCTCTGGAATGCTGGGATTATAGGCACATACCACTGCGCATGCTTTATGTGCTGCTGGGGCCAGGGCTTTATGCAAGCCAGGTAAGGATTCTACCAAGTGACTTACATTCCCAGCCTCTTCCCCATTCTTTGCTTTTTAAGGCAGGGTCTCACTGTGTAGACCTGGCTAGCTTGGAACCTACTTTTTAGACCTGGTTAGACTTGAACTCATAGATATCTGCTTCCTCTGTTTCCTGAGTGCTGGGATTAAATGTGTGCTCCTCTCATCGTTCATGGAGGAGTATCAAATGCTGTGTGTGGGGCGCAGGCCCAAGTCCCCAGGCCCCCTAGATTTCCCTACTGTAACTCAGGCTTTCAAAGGTGGGAGGAGGTGGCCTCTCGAGTGAGTTCCCTAGCCCCTGCTGCATCTCCAGAACGGGCCATCTGACTTTTTTGTCAACTGTCAGCCATAATGCCCCCTTTCCAAAATTCAAAACAAACAAAAATCAGCAACCAGACAAGGGCAAGAGGGGTTGGCATTGCTTACATTTTTTAATGAAATAAGTCAGCCTCTAAGTATTGCTTTTACAGGTTTATGGAAATCAAGTATCTGTACCACTCACACATCCCACACCACTCACACTTCCAAAAATAGATTTCTTCCCCAGTGCGGCATCTCAGTTCTGTCAACCTGGAGAGGCTAAACCCCGCCTGGGCCCTGGCATAGCCTTCTTCAGAGTGACTCCCTGAAACTATGATCAACAGTCTTGGGTCTGAAGCCTACCCAGGCTTAAGGCTCAACCGCACCAACGACGCTGGAGGGAGTGGCCTAAGTGAGAGTCTGTTTGCATCCCACTTCCGCTCTCCGTGTCCTTCCCAGAGGTTAAGGGAGGGAGGCAGGTGCAGTTGGGGGTGAAGTGCAGAGAGGTGACCTCTGGCTAGGTTCCTGTGAACAGCCATCCCAAAGGTGGAGAGTCACAAGCCAGGTCCAGGACGTCTGAGAACGGGGTGGTGGGTGAGGTCTTTGGAGCCCTTCTCCGTCCTGCAGGGCCTGGCAACTCTCCCATCTTGGCACTGGGTCCCCACCTCTCCTGGCATACTCCTGGGTTGGGGCGGGAACCCGGTTGTTGGCACGAGCAGGCCTAACCAAAAAGACAAAGGACAGTCATCAACAGGGGCCACCGCACCACTGGCCCCGGGGGGCGCCTCCCCGAGGCTCGGGTGGGGCAAGGAAGCCTTGTTCTGATCCTAAGGTCTCGGACTCTCCAGAAGACCCATGCTCAGGCTGCCGATGCTTTTTTTCCTCTCTTTGCTGAGCAAGCGTTCTACCAACTGAGCCACATTCCTAGCTCCCTGTAGCTTTTATTCCAAGTTCTTATTAATGAATTTGCTTCCCTTCTGAGATCCTGGGGACCCAGGGTAGTTTTCCATGGGAGAGGAGGGCTGTGCAGGTGATCAGGAGAGGGAGAGAGATGCTGGGGCTGCAGGAGGGGCTCAGCCAGACGGGAGGTCAAGCAGGGGCAGCTGAGCAAGCTCCAGGGAGTGGGCAGTGCCTCCCATCTCACCCGGAAAGCCCTGTGCTTACAGGAAGGCTCCCTTGGTGCAGCTTGTCAACTCTGTCCCCACTTGGCTCCTCTCGCCATGATACAGCATCACTTGTAAGTCCTGGCCCTGCGGCAGGCTCTCTCCCCCAGTCCCCTCAATCCCATGTTTAGCTGACACCAGCATCTCTGCAACAGTGAGGTCCCCAGGTCCCCGTCCCTTTGGTCCTCAGATTCTTCCCTCTACAAACACCACTGATCATCAGATGGAATGATCACTGTATGTGAAACCTGCAGTGTGTACTGCCGAATAACACTCGGGGCTGTGCGGGGCTACCACGGGCATCACATATTTAGCTGCCACCAACCAGGTAGCACCTCCAGTCACCATGGCTGCTAAAATTGTTGCCCACCTGTTTCCAAGAGCCACTAAGTAGGCCTAGCCATTCCCCCAGGAACCGTGCCTCTCCCCACTTTATAGACTGCAAAACAGAGGCTCAGAGAAGCAGGGTGAGTGGCCTGCAGCTGCACAAGTAGGACAGGCAGAGCTGGCCCAGACCGGTAACAAATGGGGACAATCACAATCTGGTTGCCGCCACACCCGGCACTCTTGTCACGTGACTTCCTTCCACCTACCTTCCCCAGCCCTGGGTGCCTTGGTCCTGCTTCCAGAGAATGCCTGGCTGTGATCAGCTGCAAGAATGGGATCACTAATGCCTTCCACGGCAAGCTGCTTTCCACCAGGGACTGCCAGGAAGGTAGTGTACCAACATCCCAACCCCCTCACCAGTACCTGGGGTGACGTGAGGCACGTCTTATGCCCACTCTGGCTCCCGGGCTTCTGAGCAGGACTGAGCCCCAGACTACAGTGGCAGCCTGCTCAGTGCCCACCTGCTCCACCTTGCTGGTCTCACTTCCCAATCTCCACACCAGTTCCTGAGATCTCCTCCCAAATAAGCACTTAAGCCCATGGCCACCTCTACCTTCCTTACCAGCCCATGAGTTGGTGTTGTTGTGTCATTTGGGCAGATGAAGACATCAAGGCCCAAAAGCGTAAGATATTGTTGAAAGATGCTCAGCTCTGATGCACTGAAATCTGCCCAGGTGTGGTGCCCTGGCCCTGTGATTCCAGCACTAGGGAGCTAAGGCCAGAGAATGCAGGTTAGAGGCCGGCCTGGCTACAGAGTAAGGACCGAGTGAGTCTGAGGCCAGGCTGGGCCGTCTAGCATGAGCCCGTTTCCATAACCAAACAAGTACTGTGCACACCAGTGTGTTCCACGCTGGGCCCCACGCCAGAAGACGGGTGCCAGGCAGTGTTGAGTTGTGAGCAACTTCAGCTTGAAGTGGTCCTAGCAATGATGGGACAAGGCTGTGGGCACGGATGGAGGTTCACACAGGGCTGTGCTCACAGGCAGGGCACCCATGGGGAGACTGGGCTTAGCTGCCTCCTCAGTTCTGAACAGGGTGGGGGTAGGAGTCATATGCTGAAGTTTCTCCCATCCTCTGTCAGACTCATTTACTAAAGGCCAGCTGGGGACACATTCTACCATGGCTCGGAAACCTTCCCTCGTTCCCGCTGTCCCTCCACAGACAGGCCCTCCTCCCCTCTGGCCCCTTCCCACCTGCCCACAGAACCCGTGGGAAGCAGAGGCTACAGCTAGGCTGGACCTTCTAGAAAGACTTTCTGAGACTCTTGTCCTGTCACCCCAGAGCCCACCGTAGCTGCTCTTCCAGGCCCTCCCTCCAAGGACCCTGGGAGACTTGGTGCTTCGGAGAGCCTTCAAGGTCAGAAGCCTGAGGTATAGAAATCTACTGAGAGTCACCCTCCTGGAGGCCAGATGCTGGGTGCCCAGCCAGGTGGGAGGGGCCCCAGGAGGCCTCACGCCCTGCCAGTCCTTGCATCTACACCGTCTCAGCACGCTGGGACGACTGAGCCTGCCGTCACAGGTGCTGTCCCTGCACTCACACCTTGCCACAGGTTTTAGTGGACACTGTTGATGTCAGTACAGCTGCTGAGTCTCTTAGTTACAGCCGATGATAGGTGCCTGTTCACACAAGCTCCTCTCCTGCCAAAGAATTTTTTAACTCTTAAAAGCCAATTTAAGGACTGGAGAGATGGTTCAGTGGTTAAGAGCACTTGCTGCCCTTGAAGGGCACCCAAGTTCTGTTGTTCTGTCCCCAGAATTCATATGGTGCTTCACAACTACCTAACTTCAGTTCCAGAGAATCCAGGGCCCTCTTCTGACCTCCATGGTCTCCTACATGCCATGTTCTCAAATAGGAACATACACATAATAAACAAACCTTTTAAAAAGTGGATTTAAAGAAAACAACTATATAAAGAATAATTCAGGGGCCAGCAAGGTGGCTCAGCTGATAAAGGAACTTGCCACCAAGCCTGATCTCTTGAGTGTGACCCCCAGGACCCACATAGTGGAAGGAAAAAACCAACTTCTACAAGTTTTCCTCTGACCACCTGCGCACCATGGCATGCACATGCCTACCCCTGCACACACAAATAATTGTAAGCAATAATAGTTGAGGCAGTAGGCGGGAAGAACAGAAATCAGCCTTCTTGAGGCTATGGACTTAGCGCTTCTCTTACAGACAGCCTTCTAGAAACCCACTCTTTCTCCACATACCCAAAGGCTTGGCAGACATCCGGGATCTCTGCACTGGAGGTAGACTGTGCAGCAGGAGGCCATCTGGCTCATGGCCAAGGGGGTGGTAACAATCTGGCCACCTCCCTAGCAGCTGCAAAGACAGAAGAGGAAAGAAGCTTCCTGTCTCCACACAGGTCAGTCCCTGATGAGAACCAGCTTCTTGGGCCTGAATTCCAACACCACGTTGGCTGTGAGTGCTCATCACTATGAGCCATCTACAGTGTGTCTGAAGTTGTCCCTGACTCCCCTGCGTTTATCTGCCCAAAGCTCCTAAGGCTTGTGACACATCACTTATTTAGACAGGCTGAGTATCTCCTATCTAGAATGCCTGGACCAGAGTGTTTTGGAATCTACAATATTCGAGGACAGCAATGAGACGCCCTTGGGAACTGGTGCAGGACTGGAACGGCTTTCATCTCCCTGCCATGGCATGAGCAGAGAGGCAGGGGATGACTTCAGGGTCTGGCCTCTCCTTCCACCGCGTGTGTTCTGGGGCTCTGATCGGGTCACCAGCAGGTGCCTTACCAGCAGAGCCATCTCACAAGCCAACAATGTAGTTTTTCTGCAGCTCCTTTTTCTCCCTGAGACAGAGTTTCACTGTGTAGCCTGGCTGCACTGGAACGCTGATGCTTCTGCCTCTGCCTTCCCAGTGCTGAAACTGGAGGTACTTGCCACGTCACCTGCCCCAATTCAAGAGTATTTTGATTGTTTTGATGTACAGACTCACTATATAGCCATAGGCTGGCTTCAAATTCATGATCCTCTTACCTCAGGCTCCTGTGTACTGGGACTGGCATGTGCCACCACAACTACAAGTCTCAAGGGGAATGTTTATATCATAACTATGGAGAAAAACAGCACTTGTCACAACAAAGGTAATGTGGACATGCTACAGAGCCAGAGGAAGCCACTCATCTGCCTCCATGCCTGGAGTGAGAAAGGCAAGAGCAAGAAGGTCAGGGCACCATGAGCCTGACTCCTCTGGTACCTTCCAGGGATTCCTCCAGCCTTGCACCTCACTTCAGAAACTCTGGGCAAGTGGAGATGGCATGAGGGCCAATGCACTACCTCACAGCTGGGCATCTAAGATGAGTCACTGAACCTTCCTCCAAGCCTCAGTTTCCCTCACTATCTAATGAGCCCTTCCTAGACAACATCACAAGGTGACGCTCCAGGGAAGCTGTGAAGATGTGGGAGGGGCACCCAGTTCTAACCTCCCGGTCAAGTTTCCTACCAGGCAGGAAGCCTGGGAAGGCCTTCCTTTTGGGACAGGGGATGACGGCTGCAGGGCACCAGCATCAGTTCACACTTAGTGGGTACGAAGCATCACCAGCTGTTTCACAGGCAGTCAACAATGATGCTCTCTATTGGTCCTGGTGCCAGAAGAGCAAGGAATGCAAGGAAAGGGGGAAGGCTTCTGGAGCTAGGGGTCCCCTGGGTCTAACACACCATATGGTGCTGCATACAACTCTGTATCAGTCACCAACCCACTGAATCACTGCAAGCCCCCAAGCAGGTACCATTATTCCCTTTTCACAGAGAAGGAAACCGAGGCCTGGGGGAGGTGATGTCACTTGTCAAAAATGTTTGTAGAACCGAGACTTAGACCCCAAATGTGAATGCAAAAACTCTAGGGTCACATGAGCTGGCGGGAATCACCTCACCGCCATAACAAACACACATTGCTCTGCTGCACTCTTGGTCAAGCCTTACTACTTTGCAGAGAAAGCTCCACTTGGGTGCCAGGAATCTTTAGCCAGTAGTAGTAGTTCAGCACATAAAGCCAGCACTGGCCTTTGGCACTGCCAGCTTTACCACTTGGCCAGAAGTTAACGACTTTGGTGCTTATTTTCATCTTGCCAGGAGAGGGCGACTTTCTTCTCACAGTGACATAGCATTCTTTTAAAAATAGACCACAGATCAGTCTGGGGTACCGTA